GGAGTGGGAAATAAAAATTGAGCAACTATTTGCATGCCATAATTACACAGAAGATAAAAAGATGAGGGTGACATCCATGGAATTCACTGATTATGCTCTCATTTGGTGGAACCAATTACAAAGGGAAAGGGTGAGATATGAAGAACCCTTGGTGGAAAGTTGGGAAGAAATGAAGAGGTTGATGAGAAGAAGATTTGTTACTTCTCATTATCAAAGAGATCTTCACAACAAGCTCCTAAGACTCATACAAGGTAGTAGAGGTGTTGATGAATATTACAAAGAGATGGAGGTTTCCATGATTAGGGCTAATGTTATGGAGGCGCGGGAGGCTACTATGGCCCGATTCCTACATGGGCTAAATAGTGATATAAGGGATGTTGTGGAGCTGCAAAATTATGTTGAGTTGGAGGATTTAATACATCAAGCTTCCAAGGTGGAACAACAATTGAAGAGAAAGGGTGCCATGAGGAGGAGTCCATCTAATTTTCACTCTCCTAGTTGGAAGGACAAAAATAAGAAGGAGGGAGGATCATCAACAAGCAATCCCAATGTTATAGCTCATAGAAATCAAAATAAGTCTGATGAGGCACTTAAGAAAACAAGGAGTAGTGAGGTTAAATGCTTCAAATGTTTGGGAAGAGGTCACATAGCTTCTCAATGTTCCACTAAGAAGACTATGTTACTTAAGGAGGATGGAGAAATAATTAGTGAATCTTCTTAAGATTCTCCATCTAGTGATGAAAATGAGCATGAAGATGAAAGAGAGTTAGAAGGAGATCTATTCATGATTAGAAGGATGTTGGGTAATCAATCAATTGAATTGGATGATTGTCAAAGAGAAAATATTTTTCATGCAAGGTGCCTCATTCAAGGGAAGTTGTGCTCTTTGATCATTGATGGTGGGACTTGCACTAACGTGGCTAGTGCACGATTGGTTTCAAAAAGGAATTTGGAGACTAAGCCACACCCGCGACCTTACAAACTTCAATGGCTTAGTGAAGATGGTGAGATGACCATTAATAGGCAAGTTGAAGTGGGTTTTCCATAGGGAAATATGAAGATTCTATTTTGTGTGATGTGGTGCCTATGGATGCTTGTCATTTACTTCTTAGGAGACCATGACAGTATGATAGGAGAGTTATGCATGATGGTTTCACTAATAAGTTCTCTTTTATGCATAAAGACCGCAAAACTACTCTTGCACCTTTGGTTCCAAGAGAAGTTAGTGACGATCAACTAAAAATGAGAAAGAAAAGAAAAGAAGAAAGAAAAGAAGAAGAGAGAGAAAAGAAAAAGAGAGTGAAGAGAAAAAGGAAAAAGAGGAAGAAAATGAGAAAGAGAAAAAAAAAATCAAATCTGTTTATAAAAGAAAAAGAAGTCAAAAGAGCTATGCAATTGAGAAAATCAATACTTTTACTTTTTAGTAAAGAAAGTAAATCAAACAGTCCCTGTTTTACTAACTCTCTTCCAAAAGAGGTTTCTTCTTTGTTGCAGGATTTTGAAGATGTTTTTCCCAAAGAAGTGCCTATAGGTCTACCCCCTCTTAGGGTATTGAGCATCAAATTGACCTTATTCCAGGAGCTTCATTGCCTAATAGACCAACCTATCGAAGCAATCCCAAAGAAACCAAGGAGATTCAAAAGCAAGTTGAAGACTTAATGCAAAAGGGGTGAGTTAAAGAAAGCTTGAGTCCATGTGCAGTCCTAGTCATTTTAGTCCCTAAGAAAGATGGAACTTGGAGGATGTGCACAGATTGTAAAGCTATCAATAACATCACGGTAAAGTATAGACATCCCATTCCTAGGTTAGATGACTTGTTGGATGAATTGTATGGTGCTTGTATCTTCTCTAAAATTGACTTGAAAAGTGGATATCATCAAATTAGAATTAAAGAAGGAGATGAGTGGAAAACAACTTTTAAAACTAAATATGAGTTGTATGAGTGGCTAGTTATGCCCTTTGGGTTAACTAATGCTCCAAGCACTTTTATGAGATTGATGAACCATGTCTTGAAAGAGTTTTTAGGCAAATGTGTAGTGGTGTATTTTGATGATATTCTGATATATAACACTAATTTTGATTTGCATGTTAAACATTTGCGTGCTGTCATGAATGTGCTTAGAAATGAAAAATTATTTGCTAATCTTGAAAAATGTACCTTTTGCACTGATCATGTTGTGTTCTTGGGATTTGTTGTGAGTTCTAAAGGGGTACAAGTTGATGAGGAAAAGATTAGAGCCATCCAAGAGTGGTCTACCCCTAAGAATGTGAGTGAAGTGAGAAGCTTTCATGGGTTAGCTAGTTTCTATAGGAAGTTTGTTAAAGACTTTAGTACTTTGACTGCACCTCTTAATGAAATAGTGAAAAATTATGTTGGGTTTAAATGGGGTGAAAAACAAGAAAAGACATTTTCTGAACTTAAGCACAAACTATCTAATGCTCCCATTCCTGCATTACCAAATTTTGCAAAATCTTTTGAAATTGAATGTGATGCATCTAATGTGGGTATTGGGGCTGTTTTGCTACAAGAAGGTCATCCAATTGCTTATTTTAGTGAGAAGTTGAATGGGGGTACCCTAAACTATCCACCTATGATAAGGAATTGTATGCCTTAGTGCGTGCTTTACAAACTTGGCAGCATTACCTTTTACCAAAAGAGTTTGTAATTCATAGTGATCATGAATCTCTGAAATACTTAAAGGGACAAGGTAAGTTAAATAAGAGACATGTCAAATGGGTTGAGTTCTTGGAGCAATTTCCATATGTCATCAAACATAAAAAGGAAAAAGGGAATGTAGTAGCTGATGCACTTTCTAGGAGACATTCATTACTTTCTATGCTTGAAACTAAATTGTTTGGTCTTGAATCTTTGAAAGACATGTATGTGAATGATGTGGATTTTGCTGAAACTTTTGCTGCATGTGAAATGTTTTCTAAAAATGGTTACTTTAGGCATAATGGATTCTTGTTTAAAGCAAATAAATTGTGTGTGCCTAAGTGTTCCATTAGAGAGTTGCTTGTGAGTGAATCACATGAAGGGGGTTTGATGGGTCATTTTGGGGTTCAAAAGACTTTATGACGACACTCGAATAGAAGGGAAACAATTTAGGGTTAGGTTTTAAGAGTTGATTTGATTGGAAATAGAAAACAGAAAAAATAAAGGATACCGTAGGCGCCACAAATAAGAATATTTGATAAGTCAAGAAGGATCGCCACAAGAATTGGATAATTCTTGATAAGATCAAGTGATGCAAGGAAGAACCCTAGCAGAGGAACAACTCACAAAGTGATTCTGAATATTACGTACGTTCATTCTCAATTTCCAAATGTTTAATACAACTTAAGTTTATGAGTTTGTCTCATTGCAGGAAATACAGATAAATTAAAATCTTAATATCCCAAGCAAAGTTAAGTTGCCCTGATGGTTCAGTGAAGACATTATAAGCTTTGGGTCTTGGGTTCAAATCCCTATTGTAGCAAATAATAATAAAAATAATAACTACTAAATCTTCTAGTTGGGTCTCCTAGCTCTCCAAACATTTTATGCATGTGATAGGGCTAGAATCCTCCATGTTTGGAGCTTTTAATAGTTGGGCCTTTAGCAAATTGCTCACTTTGTGTTGCAATGCTTCTTGTGCTTTTCTGAGCTTGCCCCTTGTCATAGGTCCACCTAAGTCTTAGATTGGATCTTGGTCTTGATCCTTCTCGTTATGGGCTTGGACCTTTATGTCCACATCATTCCCTCCTTCTTGGACAACATTTGTCCTCAAATCTATGAATTCATCTCTTGCATCAAAAGGAGTCAAGTCAGCAACATTAAAAGAAGAACTTAACATTAAAAGAAGAACTTAAATTATACTCTCCTGGTAGATCAATCTTATAAGCATTATCATTGATCTTCTCTAAGACTTGGAATGACCCATCTCCTCTAGGTTGAAGTTTAGACTTTCTTTGTTCAGGAAACCTTTCCTTTCTCATGTGTACCCAAACTCAATCACCAAGTTGGAACACCACCTTTTTCCTACCCTTGTTAGCTTGCCTCACGTAGCTCTCATTCTTCTTTTCAATTTGAGCTTTTACTTGCTCGTGCAGCTTCTTCACATATTCTGCTTTAGCCTGTGCTTCCTTATGCTTAAACATAGAAATGTTAGGCAAAAACAACACATCAAGAGGAGTCAAAGGATTAAATCCATACACAATCTCAAATGGTGAACAATTAGTGGTGCTATGGATAACCCGATTATAAGCAAACTCAACATGCGGTAAACATGCTTCCCAAGTCTTAAGATTTTTCTTTAAAATAGTCCTAAGCAATGTGCCTAAAGTCCTGTTGACTACCTCAGTTTGACCATCAGTTTGTGGGTGACAAGTAGTAGTAAACAATAATTTAATACCAATCTTACCCCACAAGGTCCTCCAAAAGTGACAAAGGAATTTGGAATCCCTATCACTCACAATGTTCCTCGGCAGTCCATGTAGCCTTACTACTTCCTTGAAAAACAAATCAGCCACATGACAAACATCATCTACCTTCTTGCAAGGTATGAAATGTTCCATCTTAGAAAATCTATCAACAACAACAAACACAGAATCCTTTCCATTCTTTGTTTTAGGCAGCCCTAAAATAAAGTCCATAGAAATGTCAGTCCAAGGATATTCAAGAATAGGTAAATGAGTATACAATCCATGAGGCTTAACCTTATATTTAGCCTTTTTATTCATATCACGTTTCACATATGAGATCAAAAGAAATGCTCTTGCAAAATCTCGTAGAAATGTAATTATGTTAGTTTTGAATTTGTTTGTGTTAGCTAAGAAAATTTGTCAATTCATGATTATTTTAGGAGTTGATCCTAATGCAGTGAGGCCTGTCTATTATTAATTTGCTTTCTTGTTGAGTGTTTCTATTATTATTTCTACTATCCTTTTATAGAACATTTTTATATACAATCAAAGCTTATGTATATAAACTCTAATGCCGAAACTGGAAACTTCTCAACATGATTAGTGCATGTGACAAGAGAAAAGATACTCTAGCATTGAATGCCTCAACAATTGCTAAGAAGCCGCATGGTAAACCAATCAATAGAAAAAATTCTTGTCCAAGAGGTACTGTCGTCTCCAACTTTGTGCATTTATTAATTTTATATACTAAGCTTTCATATTGTTATCAATTAGATTTTATTCTATATCATTGAGGTCAAATTTCATTGTTGCCCGTTAAAGTTTGATGAGTTATTCTGAACACGATGATGCAGAATATGCATTGTCATAAACTCTTTTTACATTTAGGACACATGCCCCTAAAATTTTGTGGTAAGGTCTCTACTCTACAAATAATTCTTCCATTCTTTATTTGAAGGCATGCTGCATAAAATTTGTAATAAATTAATAGGCACATATGGTAGAAAATTTTCATTTGGAGTTAAATTCTAGATGAAATTGTCCTATATTATATGCAACTATTGTTGTCTAACTTGAATGGGTGTTTAGTCAATTATGTCATCTCAATAAAGCTTTATCAATTTAAATAACAGAAAAATATAGGTTAAGTACAAAAAAATAAAAGGTTAAAGGTTAACCACACAGATAAACAAAGCTGGAATAGCTCAGTTGGTTAGAGCGTGTGGCTGTTAACCACAAGGTCGGAGGTTCAAGCCCTCCTTCTAGCGTCTTTTATTATGTTTTTCAAATTTTTAATATCTGTTTTCGTTTATAAATTTTCTTTGCCATCGTGGTTCCAGACTCTGGTTTAAAACATATGACAACTTTCGAGTAAAGGTCTTTATGTTTTAAGAAAGAATTTAGGTTCAATTTTTGTGATCTTGAGTCACAAATGACGGCAGAAAAAAAATTAGGATTGTTGTCTCCAACTTTGTGCATTTATTAAGTATCTATGCTAATTTTTCACATAATTATCAATTACATTCTCACTCTATTATTATTCTTAGATCAAAAGACAGTGTCACTGTCAAGTAATGCTTTTAATAATCAAGTAGTTTTTGTACCCTCTTGTATGAGAAATATGTACCTCATGGATGGATGACACCAGTTTTGCCAGACACATATTCAATTAACATTCCATTCCTGTTCTGATCAATTCACCAAACTCAGTTAGAAGTAGACGTAGATGGATACGATTCTTTCGGGTACCAATATCGGTGGCTGAATTTTTATGTTTATTATTATTATTTTATTATTAAAAAAGAGTTATAGAATGGATATTTGGAGAGGAGTGAGTCGTTTATATATCACTTGTCTGAGGCAAATGAGTTGGCATCTTGATAGTACAAAAGACTGGTTCTTAAGAGGTTTAGTCTTATCACAAAATCATACTTTCTAACCTCACTCTTCTATGTGAATCAGATAGGCACGCATCCCTAGTTTCTTAGTAAAACATCAAGGTTCCAAAGACACCTCTCATCACACATTCCTCTCTTATAATGATGCATGCAATCACTCTTGAGATTTGTCCAATTGCAACAGATAATGGGGAAATTATTCCTTATTATAATGTAATTTCAACGAAGATGTTATTGGTTAACCCTACAAAGTAAATGACTTGTATATAGAGTAGTTGTTGCATTTATATATTGACTCAGTCAAGGCAAGTAAAAGGAATAAATTGAGGAGTAGGTTGGATGCATCTGACAAGCACAAGAGCTTGGACAAATGATTTCCTAATTTCTACACTTCAGTCTGATAAAGAATTTGTCATATCAATCACGACTTTTCAACTTGTAAATGAACATCTAGTTCAGTTATATGTTCAGGTTATCTAGAAATTCCTTGTGAAGACATTAATATTTTTTACCATCTAGTACGTAATGCTTGCGGGATTCTTTATATTTAGTGCTACACTTCCTTGTTTACTGAATACACTGCACTTTAGATAAAAGGGTGATGAGAATAGCACCTAATTGTCTACGCGGTGCAAAGAGGATGGGGGAAAGTTTAATGTATGTTTACTGCATAGTGAGAAGGATGAAAACTCTAGATGAAGAAAAATGCGAGAGGAAAAAAAATTATAGGCCACAATACTTTGCTGAAAGTTCCGAAGAAATTTGTACATAGGCATTTGGAAAATGGGAGAAAAAAATGTTGTACATGGTGAATGTTGTGTTAGTACTTATAATTTTCATGCATTCTTGATTCAATTTTTAGAAAACTATTTTATAGGATCTTAAAATTTATGATTCTCACACATTTATATAAATTATAAACAGGGAAATATTAACCTTAATCCATGAAAGATCCAATTAAAATATATCCTTCAGTCTTTCTATTCTTTTTTTTTTTTTTTCAATATACTCTTAAGCCTTATTCTCTCATAAATCTATTCTTCAACCTTTCTTTATTCTCTCACTTAATAGTGAGAAAACCTTATGTCAGATACAAAATCCTTGCTTCCTTTACATAACCAACTTCCATCAAGTTGGTTACCATCAATTTTAGAAGATAACTCTCCATATTATCCACTAAGTTGGATAATTCTTCATACTATCTACTAAGTTGGATAACTTATCATATTATCCACTATTTTTGAAACTTCCCATAAGATGAGTCACATAATTGAATTAATTTATTTATTAATTCTAACATTATCCCACTTGATTCATGTGATGCCATAACATTTCATAATTTGATACATAAATCATAATGCACATTAAAGGACTCTATATAAATTGATTCCATCATTATTCATAATCAAAGATACAGAAGCAACAAGAGTCACGACGGTTACATGTCATTATACTTGCTTCTATCCATATATTACTATATTATCTCTTTCTCTTTAATATGATTTTATAATGAAAAGTACATAATTGGTTTAAACATAATGTCATTTTTAATAACAATAACATAATTTATTTTCTTTATCATAATATATATACATAAAGAAAAAAACACAACTTTTAGAAACTTATACATTAAAGAGTTCAGAGTATCACATAAAGATTAATAATAACATTAATATTCATAGGTAGACATAATGCTCATATTCTCTACATGACTAGCAAACAATTTGGGCAATAACCCTTTTATCTAAGGGTCAACAATCATAAGATCAATGCTAATATGTTCTATTGACATTCTACGTTTATGAACTTCTTTAAGGACAAAGTATTTCAATTCTATATGCTTAGTACCTTTAGAATACTTATCGTTCTTAGACGAGAAGACTACTGCATAATTACCACAATAAATTTTTAGCTAGTTGGCAATACTGTCAACTACTCCAAGTCCCAAAATAAAATTTTGCAACCAATTAACTTGAACTATGATATTAAAGCATGCCACAAATTCAACTTCCATGATGGATGCATCAATGATCGACTGCTTCACACTTTTCCATGAAATTGCTCCTCTGGATAAAATATACACATAACCAAGCATAGACTTTCTTATATCCATACATATGTAAAAGTTTGAATCTATATATCCGATCACCTCAAGGTGATCAGATTTCCTGTAAGTAAACATCTGATTTTTTTATTTCTAGTAACTATCTTAAGACATTCTTTGTAACTTTTCAATGATCTAGCCCAAGATTACTTTGATATCTACCCAACATACCAACCGCAAAGGACATTGCATGAGACTAAATTTGTCTATTTTCTGTATTAGAATGAGAAATGTTGAACATTTATCTATTTTGAATCTCTTTAAAACTTTATTAATATATGCATTATGAGACAAACCTAACAATCCTTGTCATCTATCACAAAATATTTACATTCCTATCACATAGTATGTCTCACCCATATTTTTCATTTCAAAGTTGTTAGAGAGAAATTGCTTAGTCTCACTTAATAAACTAAGATTGTTAATCGCAAGCAAGATATCATCAACAATATCAGAAATATAAACTTGTTCCCACTGAGTTTCAGATATACACACTGGTCAACAGTATTTTCCTTAAATCCAAATGATAGAATAGTATCATTGAACTTAAGATACCATTGTAGAGAAGTTTGTTTAAGTTTATATATTGATTTCTTAAGTTTACACACCATGTGTTCCTTTTCTTCTTTAATGAACCCTACCGTTTGGTTTAAGTAAACATCCTCCTCTAAATCCACATTCAAAAAGTTAGTTTTAACATCTATTTGATACAACTCAAGATCATAATGAACTATTAATTCCATGATAATTCTAAAAGAATATTTCTTAGAAGTAAGTGAAAATGTTTTCTTATAGTCAATGACATCTTTTTTGAGTAAAACCTTTGGTAACAAATTAGACATTGTAACGTTCGATATTGTCATGAGAGTCAAACTTAGTGTTAAAAGCCTATTTACATCCAACTTTCTTGCATCCTTCTGGCAATATCACAATGTCCCATACACCATTATGTGCCATTGACCTAAACTTATCTTTCATAGAATTTAACCATTTGTTAGAATTATCACCATTAATGGCTTTTAAAAATGAAACTTGGTCATTATCAATACTTAAGTAATTTTCTGACTCTTGTAAATAAATCACATAATCATTCAAAATAACATACTTTCTTTCTCTTTGAGATCTTTTTAATACTATTTTTTGTGGTTGTTCTTACCGGTTCATTGTTAACCTTAGGATTATTAATTTGTTGTTCTTCTTTATTGATGTGGGGTTCTACAACATGGGGAACTATAACTTTTGAAAAATAAGTACTTGTGATAGGATCTTATATCCTAACTTCCTTAATCTCCACATTTCGTGAAACGTCACTCTCACTGGTTTCACCATTCTCAATGAACCGATCATTTTCAGTTTCAACAATTCTTGTAGTATGGATAAGACAATACTTTTTTATTTTTCTAAATAACCAATGAAATATCTATTGATTGTTCTTGCATCTAATTTTTTTTCTTGCGAATTGTACACTCTTACTTCTGCTTGACAACCTCAAACATGTAGGTATCTCAAACTGGGTTTTCTACTTGTCCATAACTCAAAAGGAGTCTTTTGAACAATTTTACTAGGAACCCTGTTTAACAAATACATGACAATCTTTAAAGCATACATCCACAATGATACAGGTAAACTTGAATTACTTAACATTATCCTAACCATATCCATTAAGGTTCGATTATGACACACCATTTTGTTGTGGTGTGCCTGACATTGTGTATTAAGCATAAATACCATGTTTCTCAAGGAACTTAGCAAACAAATCAGGGTGTTGTCCATTTTCATCATATCTTTCATAATACTCATCACCTCTATCTGACCTGACAATTTTCACTTTTCTATCTAATTATCTCTTCACTTTATTCATATAAACTTTCATGGCATTCATTGTTTGAGATTTCTTATGTTGTAAATAAACATGTCCATAAGGTGATAAATCATCAATAAAGGTGATGAATACTTCTCTTTATTAAAAGAATTCACATCAAATGGACCACATATATTGGTGTGTATGATTTAAAGAAGTTGAGTGCTTCTTGTGACTTATTTCTTTGTGTGTTTGACTTTAATATGATCCACACACACATTGAGATCAGTAAAATCTAAATTAGAAGGATTTAATTTTTTACTAATCTTTGCATTCTTTCTTTGGAAATGTATCCCAAACACTTATGCCACAAGTAAGCAAACTGTTTATCCACTAAACTACGTTTAGTACCAACATTGTGATGCAAGGTCATAAGAGTTTCAACATATAAATGATCCAAATTTAATTTGTATAAACCATCATAAAGTGTACTAGATCCAATCATACAATTACGCTTAAACAAACTAAAACAATTATTCTCAAACTTAAAAGATTATCCAACAACGTCAAGCTTAGACAAAGAGACTACATTCCTAGTGATACAAGGTACATAAAAAGTATCTATCAAGTCTAAGTGAAATATAGTGTCAAGGATCAAATAATAAATCTCAACAACTTCCACTGGAACCTTCACTCTATGGTTCGGGTTGAAAGGAATGTCTGCATCACATTAGAAATATGAGTCATACATCCATAATCAATCCACCAATTATTATGGAAAACTTTAGTTAATTTTGATTCAAAATATACGTAAGTATTATGCTCATCTTTCTTTTCGAACCAAGTTTTACGTTTTAGGAAATCCTTTTAGAAATGTCCAGACTTCATGCATAAATGACATTTGTCATTTTTCTTTTGGATTTTAGTAGAGTACTCAACAATCTTTAATGGTCCTTTATCCTTTCCATGTTTCTTAACAATTTTCTTTTCAATTCCTTGATTTCTCACATAATGAACATAGTGACTTCTTAAGTTCTTGAGTTTGGTCTCCTCCTGAACTAACACACTATGCAGTTCATGTACGTTCCATTTGTCTTTCATGGTATTATAGTTCATCTAGAATAGACCAAACTCAGAAGGTGACGAGTTCAAAATGAACTATATAGAAAATTTTTCATCCACTACCATTCTAAGAGACTTGAATCTTGTTGTAATGTTTGTCATCTCGACATGTTCGTGCATAGTACGAGAACCATCAAACTTTATGGTGGTCAATGTACTCATTAATGTCCCAAAAAGGGACTTGTCAATAGTTTAAGAGTGCTCTTCCACAAATTTCATGAATTCTTTTGCATTCTCAGTTTTTCAGTCTTCAGTTTAAGAGTGCTCATTTGCATAAACATCATACTAAGTCTGTTTGATTATTCCCAAGCTCTATAATAAACTTTCTCTTCGTTGCTACTAACACC